CGGGGCGGATCTTGCAGAAAAAGAGGAGCGTTTTTCCAGGATCACAGCTCTGCCTTTGCCAAAACCTCCCCCCAGGGCATACAAAACTTATTTCTTGGCCCCTGTGCTTTCCTCCAGATACTCTGAAGGTTTTCATTCTCCCTCTGCCAAAAAAAGCAGCTTTTTTCACACTGTTTGTAGTTGTTTCAGGGCTGTTGCTTTCCAAAAAAAAAAAAAAAAACAAAAAAAGCCCAGGGTTAAAGCTGTGTTTCAAAATCACATCCCAATAATCTGGTTCTACTTTGAACAATAAACCCATTAAAAATTTTAATCAAACAAAAATATATACATATATATATATATATATATAATGGTTTTATTTTATATTTAATATTGATACTACATTATATTAGTATTTTCATAGATATCAAAAATGGAGTGGGACTGATTTGTGAGTGGTGTCTGGTATATAATATATGTAATATATAATATATAGTGTGTATATATATACACAATATATATAATATATAGTATATATAATATATTTGTACATTAAGTATATAATAAATATAAATTAATAACTCTGACTACATCTTAAAAGCACAGGGATTTAGGGCATCACTCTTCTGAGAGGTTTCATTGCCTGGTTTAGAGGTACCTGATTTATAGCTGTTGTCTCTTCCTCCCAGCGCTTTTTACTGCCTGAGATAAACCAGAATGCCATTTTTTTTAATTAATCAGTGAGTCATTATTTATTACTGGCCCCCCCTCATAAAGCAGAGATGTCAATACTCAGTCAATTTGATTTATTAAAATTAATCAGGGATAAATCCTCCTCTTCCCTTTGCAGATGATTCACGAGTTGAAGTGTCTGGATAAAAGACCTCTTAAAAATCAAGATGTTTTCCAAGTAAAAACTGCCTGAAAGGCAAGAATTGTTTGTTTTTCTTGTTTGTTTTTTTTTTCCCCTAGAGTTGCTGCTTCCCTTCTCTGTAGAAATACAAAACTGGAGTAGCTGAGCTGGTGATAAAAGCTGGAATGTTAAAATAAGTTGGTTTTTTTTTTTCCCATTTCCAATTTTTTTTAGGCAAAGAAGCCCTTCAGAATCCATGTGGTTAAATAAAACCCTTCTGTGGGTTTGTACTTAAAATATCCCCTCCCTTCTGATAACCCCCAAAATGTAGATACTATTATTAAATACATTAAGGACAACTGATATTTTTGATAGAGTTTGTGAATTGTTATGGTTATTTTTTTATAGACTCTGATAATCCCTCAGAGCTGGTGGCAGTAGGAATATTTCCATTACCATGGAAAGCTCAGGATAGATTTTAGTGCTGGGAATGTTGGCTGTAAATGGTGTTCTCCCAGTTCCCGAGGGGATGTTCTCCCAGTTCCTGAGGGATGTTCTGTTCTCCCAGTTCCTGAGGGATGTTCTCCCAATTCCCGAGGGATGTTCTGCCAGTTCCCGAGGGGATGTTCTCCCAATTCCCGAGGGATGTTCTCCCAATTCCCGAGGGGATGTTCTCCCAATTCCCGAGGGATGTTCTCCCAATTCCCGAGGGATGTTCTCCCAATTCCCGAGGGATGTTCTCCCAATTCCCGAGGGATGTTCTCCCAATTCCCGAGGGATGTTCTCCCAATTCCCGAGGGATGTTCTCCCAATTCCCGAGGGGATGTTCTCCCAATTCCTAAGGGTTGTTCTCCCAATTCCTGAGGGATGGTCTCCCAATTCCTAAGGGGTGTTCTCCCAGTTCCTGAGGGGATGTTCTCCCAGTTCCTGAGGGGATGTTCTCCCAGTTCCTCAGGTGTGTGGACCCTCCTTTGCAGGGTGGGTTTTATTTTTAATGGAGTTTTTCCCAGGGCCACATCCCATCCAGCCCATTGCAGGGATCTCTTGGCTCATGGAAACTCTGATGAAGGGCTTGGATTTTCCTCAGCTCCAGGGTGCCAGGGAAACAGCTGCTGGTGCAGGCAGTGGAAAGTGTGAATAACTCCAGCCTGGGGTTGTATAATCCAAGGAATAATCGGATCAGAGCAGGTG